CCGCCCGTTGGCCTGCTGTGAGCTACAGATCCTTATCCTTTCTTAGGTCTCTCTCCATCACTGGAGTTTTACTATTCTGCAGTTATTTAGACTATGTGGCTGGTCTGCATTTTTGAGTGGATTAGGAAGCAATGTCAGGTTTCTCCCAGCCTGTTTGTGGCCTTGGAAGACTGGGCCGTCCAGTGGCCGCCATTGCTTCTGAAGTAGCTTGTCTTAAATCTAGAGGATGCAATGAGGGGCCAGCCAGACCCATGCTGTTTTTCCACGCCCTTAACCAGGGGTCTCAACACTCGTTTAATGAAAAGAAGGGCTACAGGTGACATGGTAGCATTGTGCCAATATCTAAGGGGCTGCCCCCCAAAAGAGGCGGCCTACCTACTCTCCAAAGCACGAGAAGGAAGACAAGAAGCAATGGATGGAAACTCATCAAGCTCAGAAGCAACCTGGAATTAAGGAGAAAGTCCCTGACAGGGAGAACAATCCACCAGTGGAACCACCCTCAGAAGTTGTGGGGGCTCCATCACTGGAGGTTTTTAAGAAGAGGCTGGACAGTCACTTGTCTCGAATGGTATAGGGTCTCCTGCTTGAGCAGGGGGTTGGACTAGATGACCTCCATGGCCCCGCCCAAGTCTGTTATTCTAAACTTGGCAACTTTAAGCAATGCTGGCTGAGGAATTCTGGGAGCAGAAGTCCACAAGTCTTCCACATTGTCAAGTTTGGAGAGCCCTGGTCTTAATCAACACCCTTGGTTGGCTCTGCATCCAGAAACACACCGCTGAGTGTGGCTGTTGGGAAAACCACTGTGTCACCCGTGCAGGTTTGAAAAGAAGTGTTAAGGGAAGGATACAGGAAGCTCATATCTTGTCAGACCTTTGATCTGCTCAGGTTGTCTTTTTGCTCGATTGCTTCCAAGAACACATTTTCCATTTTTTCCAAAGGGCTGTTATGACCAAGGTCCATTTCTCGAGTAGATCACCCTGGATTGGTTCAGGAGGCAAAATAATGTTTGTGCAACAGAGTGCAACAGGTTTGCATGGATCAGGAATGGAAAAAGACAAATTGGAGCCTTTTGTTTGTAGAGAGAATTCTCATTTGTGAGATTTGCGAAAAAAAGAAGCAGCTGTGGTCTCAAAAACATCCATTTGGAGACCTGGAGCAATGTTCAAATAATACCGTTCAGAGCAAGGATGAACAAAGGAACCCCGAAGAAAAATATGCCAGAAGAGACAGGATCTCATCAGCACTCAGCTGCCCTGGAGGGGCCACTTGAAAAGAAAATTTCCCCACCAATTTGAGTTGTTTCATAAACAACTGCACTGGAGATTTGTTTCTGGATTTTTGCAGGATCTTTTTGACTTCCCAATCTAGGCTGTTGCTGTAGGGTTTGCCAATGGCAGCTGTTGGCAACAGATCTTGAAAATTAAATGTTGTGAGAAAATGTGACACAGAAATGACGTGGAATTTGACCTGCCCTAAAGGCGTCTGGTCTGTGATTCAGTGGCCCGAAAAGAGACAGGTGGAATTGTCCCAGACAATATGAGAAACTAGTTTTGAATGTTGAGAATTTAATGATTTATTAAATTTATATGCTGCCTGTCTCGCTCTCCAACTCTACTTTTCTTGCCTTCTGTTGTCACTCCTTAATGGGTGCAATTCAGCTGCCGAGTTCTTCTAAAAACTAGAAACCCCACAGATCACGTTGACGTAGCCCTGGAGGTTGCTGAAATTTGGAATCACCCAACTGAAGGCATCCAGACCTGCCCTTCTTCATAAGGTCCCACTGATGTGTTCAGATTCAGGCTCCTTGGTCAAGTCAGCCAAGCTGTCAGTGAGCTGTCAATCTCTCTAGAGCTTTTGAATAGTTCTACACTGAAGGCTCCGTTTCTGTTCAGAAAGCACCTTTGAACCTGGAGTGTGCCTTTTGTCCACGAGAAGACCTGTTTTGAAGTAGGCAGAACCCGGAACTTCATCAGACATTATAGGAGATTTCCCAGCTCCAAGAGTTATGTTTCCATCCAAGACCTGCCACCACATTTTCTGACTCTTCCCTAAGAGAAACACCTGGGCAGGGGACGACAGGCACCAGAATCCCCTAGGGAAGCTTTGAAATACTGAGAACCATTTTCATTTTATGTTGAAAAAAGTGGCCATTTTGCCATTTTCTGCAGGCTTCTTAGAAACGCAAGATGATCACTTTTGCTACTGCAAATAAAACAGATTCTTGGTGCCTAACCAATTCTAAGTTAAGCCAAGGCAGCTCAAAAGAGAAGCTTAATCTCCTAAGGACACTTTGATGTTATGGCTAGAAGGGTTTCACAAGCCCAAGCTTGTCCAAGTCAGTTCTTGGTGGAGTCCGGATGGATCAGCTCAACAAAAACTCAGCGCCCTGAGATCCAGCGTGAAGCAATCAGGGGCTTGTTGATTTCTGGAGATAAACTTACCTAGAATGTGTGAATTCAGCTGCTCTTACTCATCAAGAGTCAATGCAACCAATCAATTAGACAATCCTGGCTTAAGGTAACTTGTGAACCCAGATTTTCAAGTCAGTTGCTGACTAATCGACTCGCTTTAGTTTTTCACCATTTATGCATAGACTTGCAACCATTCACTCTGTTTTCCCTCTCAGATGCAACTTCCATAGTCTTGGCTGTATTAATTTTCAGTTGACGACAAGATGGCAACAACATGGCATCATTTGCATAGAAAAATACAGATGTGTCCACATCATCAAAACAAGACATGTCTGTCACCAAAGGTTATTCTGACATGTTTATCCAGAAATGCAGTAAACAGTCCTCAGGTGTGATGCCCTGCTTTCAGTTGACCCATTCGCAAAGCATCGGTTAATTCTCACACCTCCATCCTATGCCATTTTTTTATACTTAGCAACCAACCTTCCGTTCCATGTTTGTGAAAAACATTCCGAATGTCAGGCCTATTCAACTTTATCAAATGCTTTCTCTAAATCAATAAACACAAGGTAAACTTACTTTCTCACAGTCATGTATATTTCTCAGCAAAGAAAAACTAAAGAACAAGAATCTGAACACCTTCTGCCCATCATAAAGCTCTGTATTCTTTCGATATTTTGAAAAGGCCACCTTGATACTGGTATACAAAAGGTTGGCTCCACATTTAGAACATCTCATCATCCTTCCAGCTGCTAATTTTCTCCATCATTCGTAGTAAGCAGTGAAATCAGTTATGCTTCTAGAATTATATTATTTCCTTTTCATGCAAAGGTATGAATAGACTTTGCCCTAAGCAGAGGCTCACCAAACCAACCAGCATTCTCAGGTTTCTGATGTTCCAAAGACTTTCCCTTTACTCTCTCCCCACACTCCTCTCCCCCCCCCCATTATTCTTGTCACCTGGTAGAGTGTTTTTCCCTGGACTGCATCTATTTAGAATATTGCAGATTTTTCCCCTCCAAGACCATCCTTGCTTTTGCAATGGAGTGTAACATAATTGTCATCAACCTGTGGATGTGCGCTTTCCTACAGATAACAGTCCAGATGACAGCAAAGTACGCTCCCTGCCTGATGTCACAGTTGTGACTGCCACCTTGACTCTTTTGACTGTGGACCCCTTGCATGGTGGGGTCTCTAATCTTCCCGACAAAACCAACTTCTCCCCAACTTGGAATGCGATGGACTGGCACAAGCTCAACATCTTCCAAATATAATTACAGGCATTATATTTCATTTCTCATAATACATTTCATTTCTCATTATGACTTGATGACAGGCAACTGAAGATTTAAAAAATGGGGTTTTGGTTCCTTTTACCTCTACAAAATACTCTTTGATACTGAATTCAAGAGAGATATAAATGTGTGGGAATCCGCCAGCAGGCACATCGTAGAAAACACCTTTATTTGCACGTTGACAGCTTTCGTTTCCCAACCTAATGTTGTAAAAGTAAATAAATTTATGTATTTATTCTGGGCTGGCAGCTTTGTCTTTTGCAATGAAAATCACCTTCGCGCCAGCTGCGGATGCTCGATTGCTAAACGTCAACCGAAGCTCTACAGATTGAAAACGAATCAGGGCCTGGATCTCACTCTCCCAATTTTAATTAATCTGAGTTGAAAGTGAATTAGGAGGGAGGAGGAGGAGGGAGAGGAATGTCCAGGGCTGGACTGGAGGTTTTGAAATATGTTAATCAAGTGAGAGTACCTGGAGACCATTTGCAGTTACTTTTGATTGAGGTAGTTGTTTATAATATGGGGGTTGAATTTTAATAAGTAGCCTTTTATCTCTTTCTTGCAACAGCCTGAAAAATCTAGGTCACAGTTACTCCCATTTTACAGTTGGGAACACTGAGACTGAAAGTTGCCTGGGGCCTTGGAAGCACATGGCCTTTCCCCAGCTGTGCATCGTGCACTGAATCCAATTCCCTCCCTGTTCCATTTCTTTTTCTAAGTGAAACAAACAAGGCTGGTTTTGTGCCGTGTTTAGACCTGGGAGACCCCAAGGCCAGAAGCAAAGGAAGTGCTTCAAAAAACCCACCCTCAGCCTTTCAGCAAGACTTGGAAGCCCCCTTCAGTGCGAGGACTTTTCTCCACAAATAGCTATTTGGGGTTATGGAAGGCGAGGAGCTGAGAGTTGAAAGAATGAAAAACGGAGGTTTTGGCTCCGTTTTGGGGAGTCAGTTTCTGGGGATGGGGGCCTCTTCCTTCCACCCCATTCTATCTCCCCAGTCTTTCCAGCATCACGGATGCCGGCTTCTAACCATTAGTTCTTCCACCTGTCGCTCCACCACTTCTCCCGTCCTCTGGGTGGGAGATGGGGCCTCATCCTGGGAACTCACCTGCCACCAGGCCAGAGAGCGGCCATAAGCAAACTCCGGGATGAGCTCACCGAGACACCAGACCAGCTCTGTGGTGGCTCACCCTCCAGGCGGTCCTCCCCGGAAGCTCCCGAGACATCTAACCCAACACACACACACACACACACACACACACACACACACACACACGGCACCCCCAGCCCTCTCACCTTCTGAGCCTGGAAGATCATCTTGCGCACGACCTCTTTAATGTGGGGCTGGCAGTCAATGGGTGGCTGCATGTAGACGGCCGCCCGGGTCACCCCACGGTACGCAATGGCCTCTGGCCAGCCAAGGTCCAGTTGCGGGATGGATCGGTCTGATCTTTCCGGCCAGTATTCCAAAGAAGGCCCGGGGCCTTGGCCATCGCTCTGGCTGCCACTGTCCACGCAGCCACTCCTCTCCTTAAGGGGAAAGTCCGCACCCGGGTCGTAGGTTTCCAAGGTCTCCAGGACTTTTTTGAGCTCCAGCTCGGACAGGAAGTCTCGGATGTTCTCCTTCTTGAGAACTTCGTAGAAGGCGTCCGGCCCTTTGGCTACCAGAGCTTCCAAGGCCAGCCTCTGCTCCTCGCTGTAGAAGAATTCGGGCTTGGATTCACTGGACCTCCAGTTGACGTGACTGTCGTCCAGGCACTGGACCTGGGAGAAGGCCATGGCTGGGCTCGAAAACCAGGAGGAGGGTCTGCTCCTCCAAGAATCAAGACAAGCTCAGGTGCGTGGAAGAAATAACTTAGTGGTTATTCCTGAGTTGGGCAGCTAGCAGCAGTGAACGGAGTTCTCCGGCTCTTGAGAAGTCTTCGCCAAAGTTGTGGATGCTTCAGAGTCTTCTGGCCTCCACGTCCAGTTCCTGGCCTGGTCCCTCATCTCATCTCGTAGAACCCAAAGTACCAAGGAGTCTCCCCATGCTCCCCGAGTCTTCCTCTTCCGAAAGTCCTGTAAACAGACCACGAAGGGTGGAAAGCAGGCTCCGGAAGCCGTCCCCTTCCCCAAACGACGGCTCCCTCGGCGGATCCTCCTCCTCCTCCTCCTCCTCCGTCAGAAACGTCCCAGTATAATCCCCTCTCCTCACCGCCACCCTCCGCTTTCCAGATGCCCCGAGGCGCCGGTGACGAAAGGTGGAGGAATTCAGCCGGAAGGCATCTGCCCAGGGTCGGACGGGTCTCTGGTTCTCCGGAGCTTCGTCTCCTCGGCGCCCCTCGTCCGGTGCCCTCCTCTTCCTCCCGGCCTCCCTTCTCTGCCAGCTGGGCTGCCTCGCCGGGCGCGCTCCTGAGGTGCCGGATCTGGCCGGGCGACAGCTGGAACCTCCGGCGGCGTCTGCCTGGAGTGAAGTCCCCGTGAGAAGAGGAGGTGGAGAAAGGAGGAGGAGGAGGAGGAGGGAGAAAAGTCCCGACCCGGCTGAGTAAGCCGCTCCTCCTCCGCCTCCGCCTCCTCCTGGCTTCACCTGCCGTCCCAGGTGGCCCCGCCCGCCCTCCGACGGCCCCGGTTCCTGCCTGTCCCACGCGGGGCTCTCGCGGTGCCAAAACCTGCCCGGCTCCGGAGGGGAGGCAGGAAACTGACTCACCGCCCCAGTCGGATCTCGGCTCTTCCAGGCCGGCGGGAGAGGGGGGCTGGGCGGGTCAGAGGCTGGCCGGACAGCCAGTCAGACTTTGGCCTCCCGAGCGCGCAAGGCAGCCGGCGCCTTTTCCAAACACGGGCAAAGTTTCCGCTCCTTCTTTGCAAACAGCAGGAGGGGGTCGAGGGATCCTCGGGAGGGTCTGGAAGAAGATGGGGAAGGGGCAGGAGGGGGGAGGGTCTTGGCCCCCTGGAATGCCCGGGGAGGGCGGGACGGCCTTTCTCGAGTTGGTTCTGCCCCTCTTCCCTACACGGGGCCGCTCCAGGTCGCTTGCATGTGAAAGGTTGCTCTCTCGTGGAACTGAGGAAACCCGCCTTTTCTATCGCCCCCCCTCCTTTGGAGCAGCCTCCCCCGCCCCAGAGACAGGGGTGGCATCCTCTGGGGTCCCCCAAAACACCCCAAGGCTGGGGGGGGGGCTCACGTTTGGACTGCGCTGTTCTGTGTTTGGGACTGTATGGTGGTTGGCTTTTTTTGTTGTTTGAATGCCGGCTGTGTTGTTTTATTTGCTTTGTGTGTTTAATTGTTTTAATTGCTGTTGTATTTGGTAAGTGGCTGGAATGGGCAGCTCGATTAAATAAGGAGGAGGACTCGGATGAGGATGACAATAACAAAATTACTCTCAGCCAATTGCAAAAGTCAGTTTTGCTTCTGGCATCCTCCGAGGAGACCTTGCAAGTTATTAAACAACATCCCCTCCTCCCTCTCCCGAGTCCTTGGGAAGAAGGCCTCCCTAGGTGGATAAAAGGGCCAGCTCCAGCCTGAACACCTGGCTGACTGTGCAACCCACAACAACAACAATAGGATGTGGGTTGCAGTTTCCCTGGGGAAGCTGGGTCCACGGTTTCTGTCTCCCCTTCCTTTCTTTTGCCGATAACCCCTCACCCACCTTCTCCGCCCAGGGCAGGAAGGCAAGCCCACTGCTCCTGACGGGTCCTGACCCACAGCTGGTGCTCAGAGACCTTCTGCTTGTGGGGTGGGGTGTGTGTGTGTGTGTGTCCCCCTTCTTGCAATGCGTGGGGAAGGTTTTTGGGGTGTGATATCCACGGCCATGCTGGGCTCCTACGGAAGTTGCTGTTCTTGCCTTGAATGTCTAATATAATAATCCCTAATGAGGCCCCATTAGTATTATGACTTGGGCTGGTTAATTATCAGGCGGAGTCTGGGAGCTCCTTATTTTCAGACTAAACAATTTCATGAAAAGCCTTCGAGAATTACGTCTTACTTCATCAGATCCCGTGGCCACTCCGCAGATCTAATGAGGCCAGTTGCAGGTCCTTTGTTTGTTTATTCGCGGACCTGGGTTTAAAAACACTCGGCTCCCACGAACACCAGGTGTCTTACATAAGACAAAAGCCATGACAAGAAAGAAATGAATGAATTATATGCGTCCGAAGAGATTGTATAATATGATGGAACAATATACCAGAAAAGTTTTCTGGGTCGAATGCGGGAATTTTGGCCTCTGGGTCTTGGGAGCAGTTGGATCCTTCCCAAGGGAGGGAGGGCAGCCTATGGCTGGAGACCCAGTAAGTTGAGGGTCCCTCGTGTTTGTGTGGATTTCAGATGCTGTTGGATGCGTTGATCCAGAGGAATGCGCTCTCGTCTGTGGAACAGAAGTTGGATGTGCCAACATTGCCTATCCCAAGTTGGTGATGGAGCTCATGCCCAGCGGTAGGTGAAGACCAGGTGGTGTCACTTGCCTTGATGGGGGCAGCTTCACACTCCAGGTGGCCTTCCTCCCCTTCTCCTCCCCCAAATTTAGGGGTTGCCTTGAACACCTGACTTTTCCACCACCTGCCAGGTCTTCGGGGCTTAATGGTGGCGGTGATGATGGCTGCCCTCATGTCCTCCCTGACGTCCATCTTCAACAGCAGCAGTGCCCTCTTCACCATGGACATCTGGAGGAAGGTCCGGCAGGAGGCCAGTGAGAAGGAGCTGCTGCTGGTCGGAAGGTGAGAGCGATGGGATATTGGCGGGTTCTGCTCAGGCCTTCAGAGAAATCCACAATCCGGTTAAGTCTGCTGTCCCATATTTCGTAGCTAAACCAGCACTGCCTACTTTAGGAGTGAAGGAAGAACTTAAACATGTGCAGAAGTTTGGTAGAATGTCCACGGAGGAAGGGGTGTCTAGAGTAAGCCAGCAAGGGCTGGGCAAACCAGATATCTGTGAATGTTGGCTAGCTGTTGGACAACGAGGAGGAAACGGGAAACTGGGATCAGAGACGTGGGATGTAATTCATCTCCGGCTTGGCACATCTGGGGTTTGTCCCCGGGATCGTGTTGAAAAGGGAAGTTGAAGAGTCAAAGGCAACCTTGATGGGATGCTGAAGGGACAAGCCGTGTTTTAGCTGCCTTATCTGGGGCCTGATGACACTAGCCAGAAAGGGAGGTTCCCACTCCAGAGGTGTGAAGGTACTTCTTCTTCCAAAAACATGCTAGATGCAATCTTGGAGCGACGGTGGGATTTCCAGTCTGTAGGGAAGGCCCCACATTGGGCGAAACGATTTGAGACCTGGCTCCAGTCCCAGGTCGGGATTCTTCTCGCCTTCCTCTTCTTCTCCTGGGTAATTTTCCAGTCTCAGCCGCCACTCAGTTTCTCTTCCTGTAAAATGGGCTCAACAATCTCACCGGCATCTGCTGACTTCAGCAACTGTTTCATTGTTTGCGTGACACAGCGAGAGCTCGAGTGGTGATTGTCTGAATTGCACACCGACCTTCATCACGATGAATCACCGAGCGATGCCCCGTTTCATCGGCCTGTCTGGCAAGCAGGCAGCGAGGAAGAGCAGCCGCCAATGTTGTGGCTGTCATCCTCTGGAATTCCTCGCCCTGCAAAATTTCACCCCCCCCCCCCCGTGTGCGTCCCAGCTCTATAGTTTCCAGGGATTATTGGGTTTTTTTAAAAAAAAAATACCTGTAAGTTTATGTTGGACTGATTGGCAGGAGTGCTGTGTTCACCATAGGTGACTATCTGTCTTTCTCTGTAAATCTGATTGATGGACCATCTCAGGCCGCATGAATTAGACAATGCAGGGTGATGAGTTGGAAGGGACCTTGGAGGTCTTCTAGTCCAACCCCCTACTTAAGCAGGAGACCAAGTTCAGACAAGTGACTGTCCAGTCTCTTCTTAAAAACTTCCAGTGATGGAGCACAACTTCTGCTGGCAAGGAGTTCCACTGGTTAATTGTTATCACTGTCAGGAAATGGCTCTGTTGAACTCGCCGTACGCTTCCTTTACCGGCAATATTGTGAGATTGCCCAGATTTCTTGCATTGATCTCAACCTCACGCTGCCCTTTTAAGAGCGCTTAGTCCTCGGCTTGTGACGACCACCGGGACCAGAATTCCTGTTGCTAAGCAAGGAGGTCGTTCAGTGAATCGTGCCTGATTTTACGGCCTTTTTTTAAAAAACATGCTTGTTAAGCAATTCACTGCAGCCGTTGAGTGAGTCATGCAGTCCTTATGCGAATCCGGCTCCTCCCACGGACTCTGCTTGCCGGGAATCGGCTGGAAAGATTGGCAGGAATGCGATCACGTGACCCCTGATTTGGGGAGGCTGTGACGGTCATAAGTAGAAATCTGCTCCCGAGTCCCTTTCTTCAGGGCTGCTGCAACTTTGAACGGTCGCTAAACGAATGGTTGCAAGTAGAAGACTCCCCGTGGCTAATGCAAGCCGGGAGCCATGAAGATCGTTAAAGGTTAAGCAGGAAAATGGGGGGGCGGGTGTTTTCGAATTAAAGGGCGGTCCCCGCTTCAGGGCTGCTGCAGGAGGCCGGCTTTCCCTACCTGCCCGAGGGGCACAATTCCCCACCTCTGGCAGCTGAGGGCACCTCTGGGCCTGGCATGATTTGCGGGGCACAGCCCCATCGCCCGAGTGAGCGAGCGCATGAGTGGCCGCAGGCTGGACTCCCCTCAGCGCAGCGTTGGGCAAGGCGGGCCCTTCCGCCACTCAATGGCATCTCTTGGCGGCTCATCGCTCCGCTTGTGATGTGCGGAGAGGGGCTGCGATGCCCGCTGGGCGCAACCGGGCGGGGAAAGAAAGCTGCGGGGGAGATGGGCACGCCCCTGCGTCAGCCTCGGGGGTTTCCGCAATGTGGGACGGGCTGGGGGGCAGGGAGACTGAGGGGCGGGGGGAGAGTTCGGGAGGTCCCCCTCTGCTTCTGATGGAGGGTCGGGTGGGACTTGGATTGTGGACCAGGAGCCTGAGGGGCCCTTCTGCGCTCTGGCACCCCGCTTGATCCAGGGAGGAGCAGCTGATTTTCAGGAGCTGAGGCTGAAGCTGCCAGGTGGGGACCGAGTCCCCGGTTGCCATGGGGAAGAAGCAAACAGTTGCCCCGCTTGGAAAAACAGAGATCCTGTCTCGGCAGGTAACCCAAAAGCTGTGCTTGTCCTTATAAGGCCGAGGCGCCTCTTCCTTCTCTTCCCGTTTGCCTGCAGTATCAATGCCCTTGCGTCATCCCCCCCCCCCCCCCGCAAGGGGAGTGGCACGCAAGGAGGATGGGGCTGGAAGCCAAAGGGTGGCTGTGCGGAGGGGGGGGGGGAGAATTGGGTCATTCAAGGACTGGGTCCATGGCAGGATGGGTGGGGGGGCTCTGCAGCCACGATGCCCTTTGCCATCCGGGCCCGATCTCCTGAGCTGCTTGAAGCGAGGCTGGTGAACTGCAGCGCTGGCCCCGCAGGAGGAACGTTTGGGCTGAAGAGTCTCTGCCGCCCCGTTGCCTCTGTTCCCAGCCACCCGAAGCCCCCCCCTCTTAGCGCTGGTTGGCAGGCTGGCTGGGGGCTGCAGACCCGGTGCCTCCTCAAGGGTGATGGTGATGGCTTCCCACCCCCACCTGTGGCTCCCCCCATGCTGAACCCCGGCCCCCTGCACCCCTAACCCCGCACCCCTGTGGAGTCCATCCTTCATGGGGGTGGACCTTCAGCTGGCCCAACCTCTGGAGCCTGCAGGGATGACCCCAGGCGCCTCATGACCTCCTCGTGCCAACCAGGCCAGTGACCTTTTCTGCCCTCCTTCAAGTCTTGTTTACCTCCCCGGCCTGGAGAAGTTTCTTGTTCTTAATGCTGATTGAGAAATGCCTGCAACGGGCAGGACTGGGCCACTGCCCTGGCTTGGCTTTGAAAGAAGCGAGGGGAGGAGGAGGAGGAGGAGGAGGAGGCGGCCATCGTGACTCGCCCAAAAGCTTGGAGACAGATGGGCAGTTATGCCAAAGTGCCTTTTCCCAGGACGTGGCGGCTGTTTGAGGACAGCCCTGCCGGGTTGGCTAACCCAGCGGGTCAATTAAAACGTCTGCGTGGCCCTTTCTCATCCTAGGCTGGGAACAGTAACAATCAGGATTATGAAGCTGTCAAACCTTCGAGAAGATTCTCCACCCAACGCTGCCCAGGTGTGCTGGACTGCAAACGCTCACCTGCCAATTAGCCTCCTTTCTTGCCAAACATGTATACCAAAACTCCTCAATCTGAGCAACTTTAAGACACGTGGACTTCCGCTCCCGTGGCTGGCTGGGGAATTCTGGGAGTTGAAGTCCACGCGTCTTAAAGTTGATTGGTTATAAAGTTGGCTGGTTTATACCTTCTTTAGTCTTCCACAAAAACCTACCTCCAGGCATTTAAATGTCCGAAAAGTTAAAAGTTTAAAAAGTTAACTGCCTAATTGCTTCAGGAACCGGGGAAAGCATGTCTGTCGCTTGCCCTCCCTGGCCATAAGGTGCTTTCCATAGGACAACAGGAAGCTGCCAAGGTGACTATTCAAAATTGGACAACAAAGACATTCATGTTATGTTGCATTAACGATGTTTAGCATTTCTCACTTGCTCGCCTCGCCCTGCCATCATTTCCCTTTTTGCAGTTCCTAAAATTCCATGCTGGGCTTCGGGGCGGAAGCTCTTTCCCTGAAAGGCTGATTTTTCAAGGTCGAGTTGAAAAGGCAGCATCGACTTTAGGTCTCTGCGATCTTCCGCCTTAGCAACCTTCCTTCTTTTCCCCCAGGAGAGCTACCAGAATAAGGGGATGCATTAATTAAGGCCTGATTGGCTTTTTTGGCCCGAGGTATAAATAAAGAGTTATCATAATGATGTGCCTGGACTTGTTTGCTGCTTCTTCTATTTGTCATGGTTTTTCTCAGGGCTGATGGTGCATTGCGAGGATTTGTGGGTTTTGCATGGTGGGAGCGGAAGGCCTTAACCTCCTTTTTCTTTGGTGGCTTCCCAGAATTTGGTGTGCCTCCTGGTGTGGGGGTCATAAGCCACGAGGCACCGTTCCTGGCCGGGGCGTTGTTGAGTGATGGCTTCAGAGGTGTTGATAGGCTGAATTCCTTCCGCAGTGACTCTCAGGCCGTCACGCTTGGGAGAAACAGGTGACACCGTCACTTCCGAATGTGGGTGCTGCCATGAGTGGCTTCGGCTAGGGTTGCCCCTGAAATCCAGAGTGACTCAGCTGAGTTTCCACAAGCTTGCAAAATCCGTCCCTCCATCGTACGATGGGTTGCAAGGGGACGTGGGTGTGCTGGGACGGGTGTGTCAACCCTCTGAGGTAGCCCAGGCCGGGAAACCGACACCTTGATTGTAAGGATGGAAGAACAGGAAGTGGAAAGAGCTTCCATGCCGCCCCCCCCCCCTCGGTCCCCTTTGCCTTTGCTTCTCAGACAACGCGGGGAGGTCGTTTCGGAGACGCTTTCTCAAATTACACTTCTGGGTTGGATTCAGGTCCCGTTTTATCAGCTGGCTGTCTAGGCTGCCTGCCAAGCTCCCTCTCCCAGCCCCCCCCCCCCCCCCCCCCCCCCGCTCTCCTTCCTGGGACGGAAGTCGGGGGTTCAGGGTTGGCTGGGTCGTGTCCCTCATTTAGCCATTCAGGACCATCCTTGGCTTGGCAGGAGAACGTGAAACCTTAAGGAAACAGAAACCTTAAAATAAGCGAATGTTTCAGTGAGGCCGGAGGGTTGCCCGACAGCGTTCAAATATTATTTGAGTTGGGGGAAACCTTTGTAATCAGGAAGGTGGAGAAAAGGGAGAAAGGAGGAGAAGGAAAGGAAAGGAGAAGGAAGCAATGAAGGAGAAAGAAGGAGAAGGAAAGAAGAAGGGAGAAAAGAAAAGGGAGAAAGGAGGAGAAGGAAGGGGAAGGAAGGGGAAGGAAGAAAAGAAGGGAGAAAGAAGGAGAAGGAAAGAGAAGAAAGGGAGGGAAAAGGGGGGAAAAAAGGAAGGAGAAGAAAGAAGGGAAGGAGGTTTATTGCAGTCAATGACCATCGCAGGAACAAAAATGATCCTCAACAGGGACAACGGACCCCTCAATCTTTTCCGGCAGAGGGACACAATCCCTAGGAAAGTCCACCTTCCAGGATCCGGCTGTGAGACCCCTTTTTGTAGCCCCCCCCCCGGGTGATTCTGGAGGTGGAAAAGGGGGAAGGTGAGCAGGGAAGGGCAAAGGGCACCTGTGTCTTTGCTGCTTTGGCAGGGTGGTGACCGTCATCCTGGTGGCGGTGAGTGTGGGGTGGCTGCCCATCCTGCAGAGCTCCAACAGCGGTCAGCTCTTCATCTACATCCAGTCGGTCACCAGCTATCTGGCCCCTCCCGTCACCGCCGTCTTTCTCCTGGCCGTGTTTTGGAAGAGAGCCAACGAGCAGGTGACTTCGGTGTTTTGTGTGTGTGTGTGTGAGTGGGTGAGTGTGTGCCTTCGTTGTCTTCAACAGCGCTGGACCTCTGGCTGCCCCAGTGGTGCTCGGGGAGGCACAACCAATCCATGCAGCCCTTTGCACACCTGGCCAGGGTACAAAACCACCCATCCCGGTTCAGGAGAGCCTTGGGGTGTGTTGGACGGTTGTTACGGGACGCTGGCCTTGGGGAGGCCGTGTGTGGCTCACCTGGATTTGGAGAGAAAGGTGCATGGACCCCAAAGAACGACCCTTACCGTAGCCTTGGTTGGGGCATGCTGGGAGCCTTGACGTTGCCAGCGGGGGACTCCCCTGGTCTAGACGGCCCTGGTCTCCTTGTGCAGGGGGCCTTTTGGGGCCTGGCGGTGGGGCTGGCAGTGGGGCTGAGCCGGATGGCCTTGGAGTTCGCCTACCCGGCCCCCCGCTGCGGCGTCCTGGACCATCGGCCCCCGTTTGTGAGGGATCTGCACTACCTCCACTTCGCTCCCCTCCTGTGTCTCCTGACTGCGGCCAGCGTGGTGGGCATCAGCTGGCTGACGCCGCCCCCGTCTGAAGCCCAGGTGAGTCCGGAAAGGTGGGGTGGCACAGCCCCTGGAGGGCATGGCTGGGGGCATCCGCAGAGGTGCCCCAGGGAGGGCCAAATCCCCTCCCTTTCCAAACTGGAGGGCCAGGAAGGACGGAGTTAGTAGCGGAGCATTTGGGGGCAGGGGGGAGAATTGGGGGCTTCGCCTGGCCCCACCGCTGGGGTTGGGGGTGGGAGAGGCGAGCTTGATCTCCAGGCTGGATGCATGGCTGCTGCTCTGCCGGCTGACTCAGAGAAGGGCTGGGTTGTGTCTCCGGCTGAGCCGAAGCCACAACTGAGAAGCCGCTGGGCTAAGGACGCCGAGCTTCAGAGCCTCCGACCGGCCACGCCGCACCTAAGCACGATGGGTGAGCCGGTCCTGCATTCCTGGGCTGATGGGAGGGAGGGGGGAGGGCGAAGCTGCCCCTCCCAGCAGTGAGTCTCCCCCCCCACTTCCCCGCCCTCAGAAACAGCCACCTCCCCAAACACGGCAGCCTTTTGCCCCCCTAGAAGTGCTGGGGAACAGCCTGTCCTGGGATCCACTCCGACTCCTCCCTGGGGAACCAGCCAGGTTTCCCGGACTGGGTCTGGGGGCTTCCGTGCCCGTTTCCAGGATGGAGGGGGGGGGGGATGAAGGCTTTTGTCCCTTGGCCCTGGAGAGGAAAAATAGGAGAAGGTGGAAGGGGCCGTCAGAAGGATGTCCTGGGCTGGGAACTGGTCCACCCCCTCCCCCCAAAACAGTCCTCTTCTTATGGCCCCAGGCAAGATCCCCCCTACTAGTGGGGAGGGGAGGGGAGGGGGAGAGGGAAGAAAAGGGTAAGGAAGGGAAGGGAAGAGTCGGGGTTCATGTTTTATCAGCTGCCACAATTCTCTTTTCCTCTTTTGGAAACCACCGTAGATAAAGGACGTGACTTGGTGGACTCGGCGGTCCCTGGAGGCGCCTTCACCTGCCCATCTCTCCGGAGCCCCGTCCCTGCCCGGCCCGGGGAAAGACGGTGGGTCTCTGGGCCAGGAGCCAAACTCCTCTTTGCATCCCAGGGTTGATGCCAAGCCAGCTCTTCTCTGAGGATGAAGACAAGAAAAAAGCAGAGCCAGCCTCCCAGGGACAGAAAGTGAATGGCTTACATTTGGGGGGGGGAGGGGCACCCAAAGGCCATCCAGCCCCTGCTAGGGCTGGCGGACACCTGCAAGTCATGAAATGGCCTTGGTTTGCAAGCAGGAGGCAAACCTTGATTGTTCCCCCTGGCGTTCCTACTCTAAGGTGGACTGCTCCTGCGCATGGAGGTTGGGTGGCAGTGATGTCTGGGGAGAGCGCCGTCTCTGAGCACCCTGATTTTGACCGTAGGCTTCTCCTTCTCTCCTCCCTGCCAGCTGCCCCAGGAATCCCCCAGCCGGGGTCCTTCTGCACCGAGAGGGAGGCTGAAGGTGCCCCAGGGAAGGGTGGCCGGAGCACCCAGAGGGCAGCCGGCTTCTGGTCCCGGGTCTGCTCTGCCAACGCCCTGGTCCTCCTCTGCATCAACCTCTTTTTCTACGCTTACTTCGCTTGAAGGGGTTTCTGTGGGGTGGGGGCAGGAGGGAGGGAGGGGGCTGCGTTCCAAGGGGCCTTAAAGTGGGGGGGGGGGGGGGGGGGGGGGTGCTTCTCAATAGATTTCCGCCCTGGGGGTTCTTGGCAAAGCAAAGGGGCTTTTGGAAGAAGGATTTGAAGAAAATTTCTCCAAAAGGGACTCGGGGGTTTAAAGGGAAAACTTTTATTTCATCAAGAGATTTTTTTTCCCCCTAGGAATGAAAGAAATGACTTGGGGGGGGCGGGGCGGGGGGGCGTTCAGTTTGTAAGTCCTGGTTGCCACTTTGCTCGGCTCTTCAAGTCGCCTAGTGGCACAGAAGATAAAACCCAATAAATCAATTTTGGAAACTTGTCTCTCTGGCAGGTAAGAGCAGCTTTAGGAAGATGAGAACTGTTGCCCCGCCTCCTTGGAGGGCCCCTGGGGGGGGGTCCGAGGGCCACTTGGAGGCTGAAGGTTTGCAGCAGACCTTCTGTAGCAGTCAAGAGGGCTCTGAGACCAAGACAGCATCCAGAGCTGTGTTTCTAACCTCGGCCACTCTAAGATGGGTGGATTTCAACTCCCAGAATTCCCTGGCCAGCATGCTCTGCAGGGCATCTCTAGGAGGGACCCCTCCACTGTAAGTTTGCGGTCCACGCATCTTGTCAAGGGATGCTGAGAACTGTAGTTTTTTCCCCCCTACCAATGTGAGGTGGTAGGAACCACCAGCGGATCAGATTTCTTGCTGTAGGTCATTCCAGCACGTAAATTCAGGCAGCTCTTTGAAAACATCAGATGGTTGGACCATAAGGCAGTTGTGAAGAAGGGCTGACTTAGGACAGCGCTTTGATTGAAGCTGCACGGCCGTTCTAAGGCTAGAAATACGTTGTTTTATAAGGCAAAATAATTAGAAAACTCCAGAGGTTTGTTTGGGCTCCAGGTGAGTGACGGGGATCGGCCCGCAAAGCATTTCAGTCTGCAATGAGCCCCAAAGGTCCAGCCTCCGAACGGCCGTCTGGGGGTTCCTCTTTTAAGGTCGGAGTGCAAAAGTAATGAAACGTTTTGCCTGGCTCTGGTTGAGGGCCGAGTGAGAACATCGGCTGACCTCGTGCCAGAGAAGGGAAGGCCCAGAAGGGATGGTTGAGTGAGCCGGGCAGGTCACATGCGCAGGGGGAAAACGTAGTTCCGAGGGAAAAGGCCCGTCTTCACCCCCAGCTTCCCTCTCCACCAGTGAGGGTCTGAGCAGTCCAGAATCTTGAGGACGTCCCCTCTGCAGAAGCTCAGCTGCGAGGGCTTCTCGGCCAAGAAGTCGAACTGGGCTTGGACGAACGTCGGCTTCCTGGGCTGCGGGCGAAAGGGGGGAAAGGAAATGTGGGGTCTTGTTAGCAATTCCCTCCTCCTCCCCCTGCCCTTGTCCCAGCTCTGTGGTTGAATGGGGTGGGGGATGAGATGGGCGTTCTTGGAGCGAGAGGTTGGGGATCATTCAGTGAGACAGAAGATCTGGGGTGCCTTTGTCCACTTGGCTAGAAGCTCCCAAGGCAAGACGTTCTCCAAGGTCAGCCTTGGCTTGGTGGGCAGTGGGAGCCCAGGAGGTCAAGGGAGGCTCCAGAAGAGGCCATCTTCTAAATTAAGGGGTGCAATTCCAAGTAGCCCTTGACTTGCCAACCACTTGTTTACAACTATTCACCGTTACAACAGGACGGGGAAAAAGCGAGGGGAGGCTGGGTGGGTTCCTTACCTCCTCGGCTTCTCCGTGGTCTTTCAGGAAGACCTGCCTCTTCTTGTCGATGCTGGTGGTTCGGTAGAAGTCCACCAGTTCATTGATGGAGTTGAACTTCTCCTCCCAGAGGTGGTACTTGCCCCTTTTATCTCGGAGAACTTTGAAATGCAGCACTTGGTCTCCGTAGCTAGGAGGGAAGCAGAGGGTGGATGAAGTTTAGGGCTGAGGAGGAGAGCGGGGTGCTTGGAGCACAGCCGGGCACTTGCGGGGTGGATTGGGCTTCTTCTACGGAGCAGGGGTTGGCTTGATGGCCTCAGTGGCCCTCCAGGTTGATGGTTCTAGGAAATAATTTCACGGACCAGAGTCCATCACGGAGAAAGAAGAAGGGCGACCTTCCTTGTCGTGTGTCTACCGCAAAGACCGGATAACAAGACAGTCTCCCCCGCCCATCAGATTGGACAGCCATTACTCGGAGACCGTAAAGGCTCTCCTGCCTAACCAGAACACCTCCCAGGTCCCTTCCAACGCTGATATTCCACCTTACTAAAGCAACTTCGCTTTCTGCATCTATTTTATCTATTTTAAACCTTTTATTTAAAGTCTGTTTGCCACAGGAAGGACGCAACCTGGCACGAGTGAGGGCTTTGGCCTCTCGGTGGGGACCTCGCCCAAGCTCTCCCATCTAGGCTCCTTGGCTCTTGTGCCGAGGCTTCCTTTAAACCAAGAGAAGGAAGGAAGAAGAGCAATTCGCCTGCAGGCTGACCTCCGGAGCTCCTGCTAATCCCCACAGCCTTGACTCACAAAGAGCGCACCCTCGGCGTGCAACTTGCTTGCCAACCTTCGCCAGGTCTCAGTATGTGAGATGTGAGGTGGACAGCCAGGTGGGGTTGATGACAGTCGGTGTTGTATGTCTGATATAACTGCAAAAGGCCTTATTTCCAGCCAGGTAACTGCTGGGTTTGGTTGTCTTGGGGCAAAATAACCGTTGACAGTCACAGGCCAAAAACCTCTGGAGATGGTGGAGAACTGGTGCCTTTGACGACGGTCTCCTGAACTGCCAGGGTTAAACCCAATATTTTCCAAAGGGATGTTCCAAACTTTAAGACTTGTGGATTTTAACTCCCAGGATTCCCCAGCAAGGCATACTGGTTGGGGAATGCTGGGAGTTGAAGTCCACCCCTCTCAAAATTGCCGCCTTTGGAAAATGATCAGAGGCCAGAAACTTGGTGCAATTTTTACCCTTCTGCTTCTAAATGCCCAGGGAAGTTCCAAATCACCTCCAAAAGAAACTTTTATTTGGCAATTTAGCTGCCCAGCCGCAAATTGCTTTTTTTAAAAAAAAGTCCCATCCTTGGCAATTCCAGCACTGGGGTTAAGCCATAATTACACCCTGTTCTCATCACTCTGCCTCCTAAGCTTTCGGCTGCTGAAACAGGAGAGGCACAAAGCTGGTATAAACACAAAGAAGCGACGGGAAAACAGCTTTGCTTTCACAGCTCCTGTGTCAAGTGACAACTTGCATCCGCAAAGTCGCAGATTAAACACCCCAGAGAGTCTGAGCGATGTTTTGATTTTAGGCGATGTGCCAGGAAGCACATTTCTTGGCTCTGGGTGCCGAGGCCTCAAGTGCCCACCTGATGCCTGAGATGAGAAGAACAGTCTGGAGATGGGGCAGCGGGCGTCGTGTCGTTGCGGAGGCAACGGTTGGAGGGATGGGGCCTGCTAGGGAGGGGAGGAAGCAACTATTCAGAAAGCTTTGAGGGTTGGTTTGAAGAAGACCCAACTGTAGGAGAAGAAAAATGGACGGTGTTGAATTGTAAGCTGCCCAGACGGGATGGGCAGCTATAGAACTTCAATGGATGGATTTGCCCAAGATGGGTTTGGGTCAACCTCTCTTCATCGGGACACTTGGGAAGGGGACACAGCGCTTTTTCAGGCAGAAAATCCCCTATTCCGCCCTGAACATTAAAGAGATCCTAAGTTACGACGACTGGGTTAAGGCCTTCCTGGGTTTTGGAGACCCGCCATGTGAAGGAAGAATCAAACGGGACTCCAGGAGAAGCCGCTTTACCCGTCATGATCCCACGTCAATCTCCTCAACCCACTCCTGACATTTTGGGAATGTAGCCCCCTTAATTCCCAGCCACGCTGGCCACATGGAAGCCAGCATGTTGGGCAGAGAAGGACTCTTCTTACTCAGATCCCTTTCTGGGTCATGTGAAAGTGGCAGAAGATCCCATGCAAAGCGGCTTCCTATCCTTGGTAGTTCTTCAAAAGCCACCTGCCTATTTTCTGCTGACACAGGAGTAAGCTGCAGAGCTGTCCTTTCTACGCCCTGTTGATGAAAACTGCGCCCCATGATCCTAGGAAAAACGATGGTAAAATTAGACAGCAACCACAGCTTAATTTGGGCAGAGAACTCGACGCAAGTTCAAGCTCTGTGGTTTTCCAGGTCAGGAGGAAACGATGTCTGGCCTGTTGACATCTCTTAGAAAGAGGCACCAGGATGGAGCCCTGCAAAGGTTGACCTGACTTTGCAGGTTCTGGAGCACCTTTGGGGAAACCGGTCTGTTCCTCTGGTCCAAGCAGGGGAGGAGACCTCAGGCTTGGGCCTAGTTTGCCCTCTTCTTCTGGAAGGGCAGGTCCACTTCCTCTTCTGGAACTGGGCAGAGACAGCAAGGCTTATAGGTGATGAGATCTCAGTACATCGATGTGCCTGGGATCCTGGAACGGGGTTTCTACAGCCCTTTGGCCTTGCCAATCCACCCAGGGTGACTCCACCATTTTGGCCATATAATTGAGGGCACGAAGGAAGCAACTTTTCATTGCTGTCTCTGGAAACTCAACTCCCTTGTTGATCTAGGACGAATCATCCCGGCCTCTTCCACCAGCTCAGCTTGGTTTTCCTTCCCCTCCCTTAGAACAGGACAGGACACACAAGGGCCCGCTGACACCTGGGCCTCTCACCTGTGGCATTTTGGAAACACACCTAGGGCCATTCGATCCCTTGGAAAGGAAGTCAAGAAGAGGGACCCCTTCCAACTGAGAGCTTCCTGGGCGCCTCCCTTGAAATGACTTTGCACATCTGGCTCAGCTGGAAATCTTGGTTTGCAAACCACCATGCCGGTTTGTCAATAAGCGAAGTCGGGTTTGCTTAATGACCACATCATTCCTTGAACAACCCCAGTGATCTGCATAACGACCGTGGCAAAAAAACCATCGTCAAATTGAGCATGATTCACTTAACTACTTGCCTTGCTCAGCAACAGAAATTCTGGTTCCCAACCATGGTCATAAGTCAAGGACTACT